AAATTTATAATAAGTATTTTTAATATACTGTATGACTTATAATTTATAATAAAAGCAAATGAGACAAGTGACTGATACATGGCCAAGCAGTGGAGTAGTCATATTTAAATTTTGAATACCAGGAGACATATTTCGTAGGAACCCAAGAGCTATTGAATGTGGTATAAGAAAACCCATGAATTACTTTCAGTTTACTAGTGCTACCATTTGAAAAGTGACTGATAAATTCTATTTATTTCAATGCATTGGTGGTATGGTTTGAAGGAAGATTGAAAAGTGAGTCTAACTTAACTTTTTGTTTACGATATAAGTCTATCTATGCATTATATATGGTTTTCATGTTTTTCCGTGCTGTTTCTCTCAAATCAGGTGTGGTGAAGCAGTGCAGTGGTGCAAAGGTTTGAAGGTACATTAAAAATGTCAATCTTACTGCCTTTTGTGTGTTTATATTATGTATATAGTCTATCTATGCATTACACATGTTTGTTCATATTTCTAAGAAATGAAGCGACTAATATCATAAAACTTAGAGATCCATAGAAGTTATTAAAAAACTTATAAAAAAAGTCAAGAACAAATAAAACGTAATTCCTATAGTCAAGCAATAATAAGAAGAAAAATGTAACATATATAATCCGAAAATAAAGCTCAACTACTGGGGTACTAAAAAGTCAGAGAGCACCTGGAGAAGCGATCCATCCTATAGTGATAGATTGTAGAACCATGAAAATAGTACTGTTATCAACAATATTCTTTGCAAATTAGAATTTGAAGTTTGGGATTTGGCTCAAAAGTCAGCTACTTGAATACTTATTTATTCAAAATATATGACTTTCCAACTATAAAATTTATCTTGATCCTTCTGTACAGAAGAAAGATAAACGACCCCAATAAACGTGATTCTCGCAGGCGCACGAGCAAGAAGGCATTCCCATATACATACAAATAAACATATATAAATTTCAACGTTAATTAAAAGACCTTTAAAAGATTAAGTTGTTCATTAACTGTTATCTGCAGCCCACAACCGTATATGAAATTAGGGAAAAATTCAATCTTGGAGCCAAAACATTTTCATTCTATAAATCACTACCGTCTTACTTCTAAATCTAAACAATAAGAAAACCTAAGAAATTGAATTAGATATTTAAATTAAAAAAAATCAACAAACAACCCATTTATCCAAGAATTTGCTCTCCTGTACACACACCTTAGGCCCGTAAAGACATGAAATTTTATCATTAAATCCAAATTCAAAACCACGAAGTCACCAATAACCAGCTATTACTATCCCAAAAATCATTTTTTTTAAATTATCACTCATTTAACGCTTGAACAATTAATCACAAACACCCATAATAACATAAAAAAGGAAGCAAGGAAACATGAGAATTCAGATGCAAATGAGCTCCATGTCAGCATAAGAATTATTTTAGACTGAGCCTTAAATTCTCTCACACATAAAGTGCAAGAAAAATTGAAGACTATATTACAGAAGAATCGCAGTTAAAAAGAGCCAGAGAACGTTAAATGAACCTTCATTTCCTCAAGAACCATATTTCACTATGATTGGCTTCTTAACCTCATGTGTTTTTCCTTCAGCCTGAGCTCTTTTTAATAGCCTCTCTTTCTTTTGAGCTATTTCTCAAGCCTGTGCTTGAGAACCATCTTGAATAAGCTCGTTGCTGCACGTGAAAGAGGAAAAAAAAATTTATCGTCATGAACAAAAAGCTTCACAATGGTACAAGAACAATTAAATTTATTTAAATCAAGCAACAATAAGTTTAACAAAAAGGCAATTGAAAGGGGCCCCTAATAACAAGGGCAGATCATTGTTGGATCACCAATTTTTTGAGCATCAATCTTACTCTTATACTCCTTAATTACAATTAACACGATCCTCATTCCCACGACTTTCTTCTTTCTGCTCGAGGGAAGAGATGATTCTCCATGAAGCCCTTCTAGCGCCAATAACCTTTTTGTATGCCATAGAGAGGAGGTTCCTTTCCTCGACAGTCAACTCCTCCGTATTGACTGTTTTTGCTACCTTCTCCATAAACTTAGCCATTTCCTCGTAGCGCTCAGCCTGTTTGGCTAATTTGGCCGTGTATACATTTTCCTCACATGATGAATCAGTTTGCGACATTTTTAATGTGCTATAATACTCAAATCTGTACAAATTTTGGAGAACCTTGAAATGTCAAAATACTAATTAATATGCCGAAACATCTATGTAGAAACTAACTACGGACCAATACTAATATCTAAGATAAAACCTCAGCTTTGCATTTAACTACACAATTACAACTTTGATTAAAAAGCTTTTCATTCAACAAACTACATCTTATAATCCAACATTATAAATTTTTCAAACAGCAAAAATATAAATAAAATCAGGATAATGAGCATACAATAAAATTAAAAAAGAGGAGAATCGCATGATTCCCAATAGAAACTCATCCATAAAATACAAAAAGAATAACCCGAAAATTTATCTAAATATGCTCCCATCAGATTTCTTTACTCTCTTTCTATAATATGATTTGAGGTAAAATTATAGCACACAACTCACACAGATTCAATTATTCCTTCCCATAATCTATAATTTAACAATATTCAAATTAAAATTAATATATTCAACGCATTCAAAGTGCTAGAACGTATGTTGAACTGGTCGATAATACTAGAAAGCTAGCTGCTACTTTGTTTGGTGAAGTAGCAGACACATGCACTTGGTTGTTCAGCAGTTGAATTGATGGAACATGCTGGAGAGGTATATCTTCAATTTTTCTTCAAAACTTGAGTTTCATTATAATGAGTTATTTAAAATATAAATGGGTTTTATATTAATTATGTAAACATGCTCAAAATTTATTTTGTAGGAAAATCAACCATATGTTAAAAGCATCGAAGAGAAATCATCAAAAAAAATTTGGAAGATTCAACCTTTTGTAGATCTAGAGAAATTGAAGGAGAAAAAATATAGGCATATTAATGTTCTCTCTGTTGAAGCAGTGTAAGATGAGGAAAATGTTGGATTGTCATCTTAGAATCAAAATTATCTCAAACGCCTTTCATAAAATTATTGAGCTGTGTTTATTTATAGGACCATTCCATAGATTCTATTAATGCTCTTTTTTTAATATATCACAATGTGTAATTATTTATCAATTATATAAACATTACATCATTAGTTTTTTAATTACCCAAAACAATTACATCTTTATTAATAAGAGATTTATTCTTCACCAAATAAATTAAATATGAACTAAGCAAACGTGCATTGCACGTCGCTTTCACCTAATGTGTGTGTGTGTGTGTGTGTATCATGTCTGGAATTATTTTTAAGTTTATTGTCATCTATATTGTATTGCAATATATTCATATTAGGAGTTTGTTTGGTGGGGATTAAAATCAGATTAAAATTGAAAATATAGCCGTTGGAGTTGACTTTTATTAGACGGGTGGGACCCAATAACGGCTATATTTTCAATTTTAATTGAATTTTAATCCTTTCCAAACAAGCTCTAGAATTGTTGACTTGCATGTGCTTCATCTATCCGTCAACTAGTAGATATCTACGACAAACATCATCCCGTGACTAGTTTTCAAGAACTTGATCATTTTAAAATTATGTTTTAGGGTTAAAGCAACTAAATTAATGGGAAAATTACAGTATCGATTTCTAAC